TCGTTATTATTTAAAGCAAAAATAGTTTTAGAAAAATCGTAAGAAAAGCACTTAGAAATGCAATAAATTTCGAGCGAATTGGAATTTCAAAATTAAAAAAAAATTCAATTTAATTATTTTAATTATAGTTAAGTTATCATTTTCTATTATTAAATATTCAAGACGCTAAGTCTTATAAATTTTGAACAGCAAAACAAAATGCAAAGTAAAAGAGAAATACAAATAAGGAAAAAATGTGCAAAAAGAACATCTTAAAGTACGATAACTTTCGAATAAATTGGAATTGTAAAAACAAGCTCTTGGAAACAAATTTCATAAACAAATGTGGTTCTTTCAGCTAGTCAAATTTCAAGTTTAATGTTTAATTTCTGCTGCCTGCAGTGTGGCCCGTATGGTGTTTCATACTACAAGCTTAATAGTAAATAATTTTTAATCTAATTATCTAATGTAAAATTTTTCTAATGCATCGTACTCTTCGTACATTTTCTACGCACCTTCGTAATTTCAAGCTTTCAAGTCATATTTTCAACGCATCAATGTAAAATGCAACAACAAACTGAACATCCAGAACTATATAGATTGCTCCTACGATTTTTTATATATAAAGAGACAAAAAAAAATTCTTGACCTCACTTTTTTTCTCATAATGTTAAGTATCATATTTTTTAACATAAAAATTATCTAAAGTAAATATAGTATTTTTTCTATTGATTCTATTCTATTTATTCTATTTCTTGTCACAAGAAAATAGTTTTAAATATTTGGGCTAAAAGTTATATGATGAAAAAAATTTAATGATAAGGATTTAATTATTGAAAAACATTTGGATTTCTTTTATGCTGAAAAATAAAACATATAATATTATGCTAAATGTAACATAATATTATAGTAATCATATATTTATTGACACCAGGTAGTTGTGTGGTAGCACTCCCGAGCAATGGGGTTCTATCCTCTAACCAGGCAAGGCAGACTCAGCCTTACAACCCTTGATAAAATGATAACATGAAATAAATTTTTTTTCAAAATAGTAAAATAATGAGTATCAAGCATACTTAGGGCTAAACACTAGGGGTTCTGAGTTCGTTTGACCACCCAACCAGAACATATACTCCTAAGGATCTAAGGTCAGGAAAACTGTGATGGGCACAATAGCTCCTGTCCTCCTACACAGAAGGTTATTTAAGTACAAAAGTTAACATTGATGATCACTTCTTGATAGTAGATAAAATTTTGAAGCTCCCACACACTTTCCTTTTTTTTTTCGTCCTGTTTTTTGCTTATTTTTTGAGGAAAAATGGAAATATTTTTGTCTTGTAAATGAATAGTTATTCTAACTTACTTGGGTATAAATAATCAGAGAAATTTTAGCCTCGTTAAAGTTGTCATTTAAACAAAGATACAAAAAATTATGAATACGAAAAAGATAACATTTTACAATTTGAGTTTCTGTTTACAAAACCTCTAGTTAAGTAAATAGTAATTCTCATACATTTTGATCACTGTAACAATTACAAATATTCTCGCCTCAAATACAGCTCTAAAAGTTTGATTAAGCACTTTTAAATAAAATAAATATTTTGTACTCACTTTTGATTTTTTTATAAAACTTTGTTTTTTTAAATATATTTCGTCAAGTTTTTTAATAAATTCGCTGTGTGATTACCGTGAAGTCAAAACAAAGTTTTAAATTTACTATTCTTTTGAAATAATTGACTGAACTTTAAAACTGGCAAATATTTTAAAGGTTTGAAATATTACTTTTTTTAAAATAAAAATTTCAAATTTGGCAAAATTTTTAAAATTTGATGATTTTTTTGTGATTTTAACTAATTATTTATGAGCAGTTTTATTCACTCAAATTATGTAAACTAAAGAAACATTCTAAAATTTTGAAATTTGGTCACAAACGATTTTTATTTCTACGTAAATGTGGTTATTTTTTTATATTAGCTCTATTTTTATTTTCAGCTAGAGCAGTGGTTTCCAACTGGCTGCCCGGAGGCCGCATCCGACCCACGAAGTTTTTTTTTGTGCCCGCAAACTAAAATATATTAGTTGTCATTTTTTGAGGACAATTTTCGTAAAAAATCTGTATGGATTTAAAATACTTTTCTCGTTAATAAAGACCTAATTTCTTCGTTTCTATGAAATTTAACATACCAACGGTGCAAAAAAAAAAAAATTTCTCAGATTTTGTATCCAAGAAAATATTTATTCAAACACAAAAATAATCGTGTATGTTGTTTTTTTTTTTTTATTTTTTTGTATTTTGTGAATATAACTTAGCATGTGCGTATCAGAAATTTTCTCAAAGAAATTCTCCGATTTAACTTTTTGAAACCACTCATTTTGGACGAAAATATTTACACACACATTTGTAAATTTTAAATGTAACTATCTATTCTCTGGTGGTTGCAGCAGACAAATCTCAATTTACTCATTGAACATTTTGTGTGCTAATAAGCAAGTTTTAAAACCAAACTTTTTAAAGTTTTATATCTTAACAATTAGATATCTGTTGCACATTAATTGTTTAATACATAGGTGCACATTAAAGTTATTGTAGCCCGAATTTTTTAATATGCAATTAAATATTTTTAAAAATCTACTTCTTATTTTAATTTGTAATTCAATACTTTTGTTTTGTACAACTTGGTAAAAATCTGACAGTAATATGTAATGTTCCTTCAAACATAAAAGAGTCCTACATAAAATTTTGATAAAGTGGCGGCCCGCCATTTGATTTGTGTTTTTAATTATGGCCCCCGGCCTTATGTAAGTTGGAAACCCCTGAGCTAGAGGATGCTAGGTGGGGATGGGAGCAACTTAACCTAACCGCCATTAATACACGTTATGAACTCGTAACAGTTAGAAAAATGGTTGCAGTTAAAACAGTTAAAAAGAAAGTTCATTTCACTTAATGGTCGATCCCTGGAAGTAATGTTTTGATAATACGTTAACCCTTTGCACTTTGAACCACTCTAAAATCAAAATTATTAAAATTTTAATAGCATTTTAAAGTACTTGGAGTGCAAAGGATAAATAGTACCTCAAATACATGCATGGTTACTATCTCTCTACGCTTTGAGAAAGGGAATTTCTGGTGGTAGCAAAGTTTATATTTTAATGTATTATTCTTTCATTTCAAAATTTTGATTTATCCTCTTCAAACAAAAGACACCCATTAGGATACCTCAACAAACACAGAGTACAAACAACCTGGAAGAATTAAAGAGTTGTGACGAGCTTTTCTTAAGAGTAGAGCCCCTGAATTAGACAGGCCGACTTATCATTTATTGTTGGAGCAAAGAGCTAACATAAGCACAGCGAATAAATATTTTCAAATGGTAGTTTATTAATTGTAATTCTTGGTTTCATAAGTTCGATTTAGTAGATTTTAATCCACCACTATTTCTAAACAATGCGTAGGCTTATGTAATTCACCACTTTATAGTACTTAATGCATGCTTTACATTTTTAAAAGCAAGCAAATATTGACAATTATTTGCAAAATTTACTCTGCAGTTATTTACCGTTTTTTAAATTATTTTGGCGTGTCCGCAGCAGTTGGCATCTCTGTAATAACATGACGAATACTAAAATAACGTTAACTTGCGAACTTGTTTGCTCCAATATTGCTTGATAGGTCAGCTCGGATAGTATAGGAGCCTTACTTAAAAGTAATGACGAACGAGGAGTAGTGACGTGACGAAGTTGCTTAAAATTTCATAAAGTTAACTTCCCATTGAGTTTATAAAATTTGTTTAGAAAAGTTTCAAACCACGATAACGGAAATGAAAATATTTTTAGCAGACATTAATGCTTCAAGTATGTACATTTTTCAAAATTTAGCTACCACTTTTAAACAATTTCCAGGTCGTGTTTATGTCAGGTCAGACGAGGTTATTTTCCCTACCACTGCATTGTATATGTCTCACAAGCTTATACGCAACTCAATCAACGCCTCCTTTAACTGAAAGCCTCCACACGGTTTTTCATAGGTAGTCCGGTCAGACTTACTGAAAGAGTCATTTAATACAGAATATTGTTAAGATAAGAAAGTGGTAGTAAATATATGACTAAAAATTTATTTTATTTATGAATATTACTGGTTTGCCTTATTCACTTGTCAACCACTACAGATTCAATTCTCAAATATATAAGATAAATTTCTCTCAATTACTTTTATAAAAGGTTTTGGGTTCATGCGCACAACTGGTTCACTTTTTAAACAGTCTGCGCTGACTACTGATAAAAGACCGTGTGGAGGCTTCTTTATGTAGGAGGTGATGACTCAGTTTCTTCTCCTGCGGCAAGGCTTATAAAGTTTTGACGAAATTACCAAAAATACTATTAACTACAAATTTTAATCGTCTATCACTTTATAAAATTTTTTGCAATAAAATGTAGTAAAGCCGCGATTTCTTAGGGAATAGAGCGTTCGCCTTCCAATGAGGTGAACTAGGTTCGAATTCCAGCGATGACTGGCCGATACAAATTCCGCACCCGTGTCGCACCTACCACAGTGCTAACGTAGAATATTCTCAGTAGTAGATGGATCATGGGTCAGAATCCCCTCGTCGTCAGGCTAACCGTGAGAGGTTTTCGTGGTTATTTCTCTCTATGTAATACAACTGTTGGTTAGTTCCATCAAAAAGTCCTTCACGAAGGCAAATTCCTCCCAATACTTCATCCAGGAGTTCCCTTGTCATCTGGATTGGGTTCAAATTTACAAGGCTACGGAGTTGAACATTAGTAGTCGCGAATCCGAAATTCAGTCTGCTGTTCAACAACGGTTATAAAGTATAGAATAAGCGTATTAATTAGCAGGCCGGTATATATGATTAATAAACGAAAATATTTTAAATGATATTACTGTACTCAATTTTTAACAGTTGAAGTAGATTTTCTTTAGCTGTATTCTAGAACGGAAGGTTAAATGACAAATATTGATTTTCACATCATATAGAACTTAAAGAACTAACTAAAAAACATACCATCGTCATCATTCAAAACATTATAAAGTCTTTTTAAGTTGGTTTTAAATAGTTCTTCTTCTTTTAGCAATCTGGATAATTCCTCCAAATCATCTTGACTTTTATCACTTTCATAATCCACATCATTTTGAGCTAACACTGTACCACAAATCACTGTCCAACTGATCACAAAACACAGCGTGACCAGGCCCTTCATTCTTCTCAGTCTCTGTATACTCCCTCACTCGCAATTATTATTCCTAATAATATTTTGGGAGACAAACCTGTCTGTTGGATCACAAAAAACGAAATGAGCGAGTGAATCCCTACGCCCCTTGCAACTTATCAATCGCACCTACTGAAAATATGATAAAAAGTTAAAAACGCGTGATTGCATACACCTGTTGCTTATACAGAAAAAAAGACCTTTGCGCACCCTTATCGATATGTCTTCGAAAATAATGCATAAAAAAATATTCCTTATCGATTTCTGATTATTAGTAATGTTTGCATTCAATGTCGCCAATACCTAGGTAAAAAGGTACACTATGTTTCACTTTGAAAGAATGTTAAAAATGAAACCTAATTATGAAAATAACAAAATATTTGATGTTTGAAATATTAACAGAATCGTATAAAATAACGGATGTTTATCGCTATTTTTTTTTTTAAATAACAGGGCACTTCCTATGCCGTGTTGCATAGTTAAAAGTAATAAGATTGGTGCAATTATGGAACGCATAACATGTTTCTTTTATTTTATCAATCCTTTTAACCCTTTCGCGACGAGTTTTTTTTTTTTTTTTTTTTTTTTTACAGCAGAACAATTTTGGTAGTATAAACTATGAATACAGCAGCATTATGTACGGTAGCGCCATCTATGTTCTGTGAATGAAAATACCTTCAACAATATTGGCAGGGAAGCGTTTCTGTCCCAAAAGATTTTTCTGAAATTCGCTTGGGACGTATGCAGAGATGCCAACTGCTCCGGACACGCTAAAATAATTTAAAAAAACGGTAAATATCTACAAAGTAAATTTTGCAAATATTTGACTATTTTTTCTTGCTTTTTAAAAGGTAAAGCATGGCATAAGTACTCTAGAGTGGTGAATTGTATAAGCCTACGAATTATTTAGAAAGAGTGGTGAATAAAAATCTACTAAATTCAATTTATTAAACCAAGAATCACAATTGATAAACTACCACTTTAAAACACATATTTGCTGTCCGTAGCAAGTTGGCATCTCTGCGTATGTGTCCCATAAGGACGACGACGATCTGGATTTGTTGAGGTGCCTGCCCGCGCTAGCGGGCACCTGACCTCTTCATCTGAAGTTGTGCACTAGAGCAACTGGTATTAATGGCTTTGAAAGAAAAGAAAGGATAAAAGGAGGAGTTCAAGGCAGTTGGCGGCTTGAAATATCTGCGTGAAAGCCCTTATATAGCAAGACGGAAAAGAGAAAAACCTGGTACGTAAAACATTTCATTCCAGCATTTTTTTCGAAAAAAATGAAATATCTGTAACTATCAAGATTTCTTTTATAATTCTGGCATATATATATAAAACTGCTTCTTTTCCAAGATAAAGTAGATATTGTTGAAAAATTTAAAAAAAAGAATAAGTAAACTCCTCCCCAAAACTAGCTATAACTGACATGGTTTTACTACCAGCCTTTCCTCTTTTCCGTCTCGCTTTCACCCCTGCCATAAGGTGCGAAAGGTAATGAGACGGTCTTTTAATCTGGAAACATCATCAATATTTATCTGGGCGCCTGGGGCCGTTAGCGGCTTTTTCCCATTCGTCTTGAATTGTGATCTTTAGGGTGGTTCTTTCTGGTAATTGGAATGCAATTGAAGTAAAAGGAATTTAAATATTTTGAATTTTAGATAAAATTACGTCACTACAAAAATGAGCTGCCATCGGCCTGAGGTTTATGTCTTCTCTTAAGTTTTCAAAAGTAAAAATTTCGTTGAATCCTGCGGTGTCACAATTATTGGTTTTTTCAAAAAATCTGAAATTTAGCTTTGCAATGTGATGATCTAAAGAATCTATGCTGAGGTCGCGATATATGTTTTTATTTTTGATAAACCATCTTGCTTTTATTATTTTCCTGAGGATTTTGTTCTGGCATGTTTTGAGTTTTTTAAGGAGTGATGTGGAGATGTTGCACCAAGCTTAATCTCGAAACCAAGGCTGAAAGCCCATATGGGTCATTCTCACAAAAACAGTCATTTTCATGTCCCCAGTATATTTTATGTTTGTTTTACAACTTACGAAAAAAAATTTTCAGGGAAAGTGTCCTTCAGAATGCAAGCTAACAAAAGAATAAAAATAAAATTATCAATTTTTATTTTTTATTTATTTTAGGTAATTAAAATATACCAATATGTCATTCCCTCACTTGTCCCCACTGCTGATTTAAAAAAAGAAAAAAATTGTTTCTGAAATAAGAA